CCTTGTTATGATATTATCCGCTGTTTAGCATTATTAAATCATGATTTAGCCTGTTGTATTGCTATTAGCTGTTTAACTTCGAATTGAAAATGTGTCGGCTGGCCTTGTCTTCACGAGAGGCGCCATCACGACCGGGTTTGGGTTTAGGGTCGTGACAATTACTTATTCGAATACTATATATTTTAATCTTAAATAATAGGACTTCCTACATAGTTCAAATACAGAATAATTTAATAAGTAAAATATTAATAGATTTCAAATACCTAAATATTAGAAAAGTAAATCAAATTACAATTTTATCCAATGTAAAATTGTAAAGGGTAATGAAGGCGAACGACATTTCGCTAAGGAACTTCGTGCTTTTAATATAGTACTAGTATTAGTGTATATGTGTTGCACGTGTGTATAGTATTAATTAATATAAATTATATATAAAAAGAATAAATTATTGCGTATGTACCTCATACTGTTGAGTATATCGGTTTTAAGAAATTACATAAAATGTTATTAAATAATATATATATAAGTTATAAAATAAATATCAAAATAAAAAATTGTAAGTTCCTGAAAAATGTTGAATTGATCCAATTTAGCTAACTTAATAAATGAATAAGTCTTGCTTCAACCCCTCATATCAACATTTGCCTCCAATTATTGAAATTATCTGATTTTCTTCTTTCTTGTGTATTAATTAATAAATATATTTGGAAAAAAATTAGTAACAAATTTTAACATAATTTATTCTTATTCCCTACAATTATGTTGTCTGAACTTGACGTGATGTCCTTTCATAAATACTTCTATAAGTTGATGTTGAGTTAAAGAGTTAACCTAATGGTAATGGGAGAACTTGTATCTAGGGAGTAGTATTTATTAGAATATATGTACTGATATTTTTGTATACAAATTTTATAGAACGAGTATTTAATTAAAAGGTAGAAAAATTGTTCAACTTTATATGTGCATACATTTTGGTCTATTATTTTTTTACATTAGATCCTTCCACTTTTATAGTAATCTAGTTTTCAGGTATGTTTTGTGTGTACCTCATATCAATGAGTATGCTATTTTAAGAAATCACATAACCAATTTTTATAAATACCAAATTGTTGTTATTTTTTTTTTAAGTTTTTTTTTTTTTTTTGGTTAATAGCATTTCTATTCATTTCCGAAAATTGACTTTACAAAGCAAGTAGATGCTGACCATCTACACTCCTATTTACATCAAGCCTGTAGTCTAAGTAAAATAAGCACTTCGACTAAGTAATAAAAAACAAAACAGCATAATCCTATACATCAGTAAGAAGGACATTCGCCTAAGGATAACAGTTAAGCTTTTTGAGTGCTCCTTGCCAATGCTGTATTAATCGGCCCCTCGTGTGTATATGGACTGCTATTTCTCTGCAAATGTTGCTTACAGTAGTTATCCCACCTTGGAATCTGAGTTTGTTCCTTTCTCTCCATATGGTATATATCATCATACCAAAGACACAAGTAACAATCCATTCTTCTTTGTAGCATACTGACTTATCCATGCCACTTCACTCTGCCAATCTCGGATAGTTCTACTATGCCCAAGTCATTTCAGTAGTCTCGGCCATAATTCTTTAGTCATAGTGCACTCAAAGAAGATATGATCAAATACTTCATCCGCTTGCTTACAGAAGATACATTGTTGGGGGATCTGAACTCCAAATTTCAAGAGCCTATCAACTGTAGCTAGTCTCCTTTGCAATGCTAACACATTGCAAACTTCCAAATTGTTGTTATTGCTATTATCTAATACAGCAAAAGAAAAAAAGAGAAAAAAGAAGGAAAAAAAAGTTATCCAAAATATTTCCTTGGACTTAAGAGAAATATTTTATGAAAATTGTTGTTGTTCCTAGTACCTAATACTAAACACAAATAAATAACACAAAAGTACTTTTATCACAATTATTCAAAAATTTATCAAATAAAACAGATTAAAAATGAAGCTTTTGGCCTTTTAGAAATGTGAAATGAAAACATTGGGACATGTCGTTTGTTAGAATAATGTAAAAAGAAAAAAATTGATGGCAACTCATTTAGAATATATTTTTTCTTCTATTCATGCTTGTTGCTTCAAGTTTACCTTTTTATCAATGACTCTTGAAATTATACTATAGCCAATTTTGCTCTATCTTCTAGTTCCTTTCATCATTCTTCTTATGGAGATAAATTTATGTATCCTAGGATTTTATCAACCTGAAATATAATCTTACTTGTATGATGAATTTGGAAAATAATTAAATTAATTTTTTTTCCATTTAGTTTATGTAAACACTTAATTTTCTTCTCAATATTAAATAGAGTTTAACTAATTTTTTCTCAATATTAAATAGAGTTTAACTTTTTTGGATTCAAATTATTACTATTAGCTTATCCTTTATTTTAAATATTTTAGTTATTCTTTATTCAATAAGAATTCCATTATAAAAGATAAAAAATTTATCTGAAATTTTACTTTTGACTCTTGCCAATCACTTTTCTCTCTCTCTCTCTCTCTCTCTCACACACACTCTCTCTCTCTCTATAATATCATACTATATAAGATATAGTATATATTATATATATATATATATATATATATATATATATATATATATATTTCTTTTTCTAATTATTAAGTGTAATTTTTGTATACTATAAAAACATCAATAAACAAAAAATATTGTATAAGTATAAAAGTAGTCCCAATATTATATTAAAATGGATTATCAATATAGGACGTTCTAAACAAAATGTTTGATTAATTTTTAATTCTTATATTGGATAAAATGGTAATTAGCATGATTTTTTAAAACGATATATCTTTAGAAATATTATAACTCAATAAGAATTCCATTTTTAAAGATAAAAAATTTATCTGATATTTTACTTTTGACTCTTGCCAATCACTTCTCTCTCTCTCTCTCTCTCTCTCTCTCTCTCTCTCTCTCTCTCTCTCATTATTAGTGTAATTTTGTATATTATGAAAACATCAATAAACAAAATTTATTGTATAAGTATAAAAGTAGTCCCAATATTATATTAAAATGTATTATCAATATAGGACGTTCTAAACAAAATGTTTGATTAATTTTTTATTCTTATATTGGTTAAAATGGTAATTAGCATGATTTTTCAAAGACAATATATCTTTAGACAAATATTATACCAAAAGTCAAGAAATCTTTTCCCGTTAGTATCAGGGACTTAAAATCAAAAATTTGAAGCCAACCACCTGTACTTTGATTTGTGAATTCGCTACTTGTTTCATTAAAAAGAAACAAAAAGTTGGGCATAAATATTAAGAAATTTAATATGAAAGATATTATATAAGGTAAAATCTTAATAGAATTTATGGTCCTAAATATTAGGAGTTTTTATTTAACACAAATAAGGAAAGATTTAATAACCATAATTTCAAGTAATCTCATATTCCTAAATATTAGGAAAATAATGTAAATTTCAATTTCGTTCAATGTGAAATTTATCTTAAGGTGAAGCAATAAGCATGAATAGAAGAAAGCATAGCAGATACACCTTAGAGTCTTAGACGAGCATAGCAGCCATTTCAGCTCACTAATGAAAGTAAATCATTTCCTACCATAAATTTGTCCCTCGAGAAGTTCTCTGATCACAGTGGCAAATCCAACCCAGCCAGCCTGCACAGGTTCCTTCTGAAGATGCTAACTACAGAAAGGGGTTAAGAGCTTTGGGTGTGTAGTTCAAGGTAACATTATGCTGACCCAGAATGTAATTCTAATAAAATGAAATAAAAAAGAAAATGGTGCTAGGAAAAACACATGGAACATAGTCCTCATCAATTTAAGATAATAATCTGCAAATATGATAAAGATTTACAGAATGCTGCCAATGTTACCAAAAAGACATTGCTCCAAAACTGTAAATTTGCAAAATTAGATTAACTTAATCAACATTGTGCAGCTCCCAAAAACATCTAAATTCTGCAAATAAACTAGGCTGATGAGTCAATTTATCAGCTGTTGAGCGTAGAAAGCATGCCCCCTGTTGCAGTTGGAATAACAACTTCCCAACCAGGTCCTTTAAGAGGAAGGACATTTACACTTGATTCAGGGTTAACATCTTCACTTGGAGGACCAACAAGTAAATCACTTCGGTCTAAAACCCTCTGTAGATCCTCATCACTAAGATCTGTCTGCACCAACTTGTCCTCTTCGCTATCATCATCTCTCAAAAGCGCCAACAAGTCCTCTTCCTGATACACAAGAGTCACTATTAGCAAAAATCACCAGCTACTTTCTTCTACTTCACTACCAAAGATTATCCAATCCATTTCATTATCACAGGATTATAACGTGTAAGAAAAATGACGGTTACATTGACAACAAAATGCTTTGCACTGGAACTATGGTAGCATAACTAATGGGCACACCAAGCTACAACTGTTTCTTCCCGCTGAATCAAAAAAATAAAAACTATTCACACCAATGTAGGCAATGTTATAAAAACTGGTGTAGGTTTCAACACGATGTACTATTTAAAGGATGTCAAATTCAACTACAACCAGAGAAAACAACTCAGTGCTACACATAAAAGAAAAGGAGCATCTTGCAGGGGTAAGAAACACAAACCTCCATGATATCTGTAGTAGGCTTGTTTCTTTCTTGCTTAAATTGTCCTTTTCCAATCACTACATGCTCAAGCTTCAACTTGCTGAAAGCTCTTTTGAGGATTCGACCCTAAAGCACACATTTACCTCATTAGAAAAGAGTATAAAGAGCTGCTAAGATGTAGTTTTAGAAACAGCCTGGATAGTACCTCCACCGAGAGAGCAGTTGCAAGCCTATAAACATGAACAGGTTTTGTCTGACCTATTCTATGACACCGATCCATAGCCTGGAGATCCATTTGGGGATTCTGAAAACAGAAGTGCAAATTACTGATTGATCTAACTGACCATCCAAATAGTAAGTAAAAGAACAGAATATGAATGAAAGAAATAAGTGGAAACGTTGCTTCTGAAGTGAGAAGGATTAGCATATCAATGAAGTGATCCTACCTGAAGAGGCAAGGCAACATGCAGTAAGAGCTTGTGATAACTTTGTTTCAAACGGACTCCACTTAAGTGGCATATCACCACACTGTATCGTATCAAATAAGATGATCGAGTGGATCGTAAATCTAGTAGTTTCCTAACCACCCCACCCCCAAACATAAGGCGGGCGATTATAGAAGCTTGATACTTAACTTGCTTCTTCATGCTGAAATCATACCATTTTCTGGAAGTGGTCTCATTATGCATGTGTTTTCAGTTTATTAATATCACGATATCATATAACAATTACACTTCAATCCCAAACTAGTAGGGTTCGGCTCTATAAATCCTCAAATATACATTCCATTCCATGATCCTAACACTCAATGATTAAGGATTGTCTAGATCTCACACTTACCTCTTCACTGACATACAATTTCTAACAAACTAAAAAAATTCCTGCCAAGCACGAGACCTAAAGTAAGGTACCAAAAATGACTAAATATTAATCCTAATTAATTGTTACTGCCTATATTGGAACTTCCATTGTGTTCTGATTTTCACCAAGTCCACATGAATTTCAAGAGGCTCCCTCTCAATGAGATTTTATGTCTAGCTCATTCATTTTTGACATCTTCAGAAAATATGGTGTCATCCAGTCGACAGTGCACTTGAAAGTCAACATAGAATATGACCAAACCATCTAAGGTGAACTACTCTCATTTTTCCCCTTAACAATGAGAGTATTTCTATGACTCACTCAGCATTATTAGTCTTACAACCATCCTATTGAAGTTATCTTTCACTTAATTAGGTATATCTCTGTCAGCTACCACATAAGAATATTCATGTAGCACTCATCTATTTCAGCAATCATATTTTATTCGACATGATACATCTAAGTCTATCATGCTTTTCTCCTGAAAAGTTCAGCCTAAAAACCTGGATTGTCTGCATTAGGCATCGCAATCTCATCTAACCTCAACTCAATTTAATTCTTCTTATGCTAGCAGATCTTACAGCACATATGTTCTTACTCATACTTATCCTAAGACCTTACTCTCTAGAGTATCATTGGTAATAATGTTATTCTTTATCCTAAAGAAAACGATTCGGCAGTGCCTGTAAAATTGCATGTTACATCATCCTTAATTGTTAGTATTGATAAACTGTGAGAACTTCATCTAGCCACATAAAAGGATGGAAACAAAGGAAATCAGAGGAGGCACAAGAAGGTACCCAATCACTGTCATATAAAATGCAGGTGTCTGCAGCAGTAAGATTAATGCCAAGGCCACCAGCTCTAGTGCTCAGAAGAAATATCCTGCAGTCACTGTTAACATCATTGAACTCCTTGATCTGTTCAGAGCAACAAGTGATTATAATCAGATTTTTTACTTTATAAAAAAGGAGTATAATCAGGTCGACTTAATCAAAAGCTTCCAGATAACCCAGTTTTTTAATGCTCCCTCCCAGCCAATTTACTTAACCTGTTCAAATATTATTATTTGTTATCGTAACGAAATCCTTTTTTTTAGATAAGTATTATCAATTTGAATCATGTAGATGAAAACCCATGCCAGTCAGGACAAAGGATTTAAAAGCGAGACCAAGTAAATTGCAAGGCGGGGAGCGGTTTACATACAATAAAGAAGAAAGAAGTAACTCTCAGTCCAAAAAGAATACATAACCAACACATCCATGAACCTCACTGATTCTGCCAAACGCGAATACTTGAATGGGAGATCTACGCGGTATGCCTACTGGAAACACTAGTTAACACCATATATAATTAAAATATTTATTTTACTCAGTATACCTTCTTTATAAATTTATTTTGCTCTGTATACCTACTGTATTCCAAAATAAAATACTGTGTATTTTAAAGTAGAATATGGTGATATGTTTGGTTTAGATATTGTATTCCAAATTAGAATACTATAGTATGGTTGGTTTGAATATTGTATTCCAAATTTAAAAATTGTGAAATGTTTGGTGTGAATATTGTATTCTAAATTAGAGAATTTCGGTATGTTTGGTTTGGATACTGTATTCCAAATTGAAATCTATAGTATGTTTGGTTCGAATATTGTATTCCAAATGTAAAAAAATTGGAATGTTTGATTTGATATTGTATTCAAAATTGAAAATTGTGGTTACTATAGTATGTTTGGTTTGAACATTGTATTCTAAATTAAAAAATTATGGTATTTTAGTTTGGATACTGTATTCCAAATTAGAGTGTTGTGGTATGTTCAGTTTGATTATTGTATTCCAAATTAGAATGTTGTGGTAAATATTTGGTTTAAATAAGGCTGAATACATATGCAGACCCTTAAACTTGTCTGTTTTATAATTTAAACACCTAATCAAAGCTTTGTTCCTATTAAACACTTGTACTCCAACCTAAATGTGTCTATTAGACATAATTCGCTGACATGGCATAGTGTTTGTAATAGACTTACTCTAGGCACGTGAAAGACGTATTTTTCTTTTAAAATATATTTTTTCTCGCTTCTTCCCCTTCTCTCTCCTACTACCGATCTCCCCAGATTCCCACCACTGCTATAGCCACCTCGCCTTCCCCTCTCCACACATTCACCACCATCCGCCCACCACTGCCACCACAACCTTTCCTTATGGTATCCCTTCTCTCTCCACAGCACCGGTGCCACCACCATCCTCGTTACCATTATTATTACCAGAATCTTCAACACCCATTTCCAAGATTTATCATTAGAAGATACACAATTCAAAGCTTGGTACCAAACAAATTAATTACAAAGCAAGACTTTTTTTAAATATCAGGAGAGTGCTTCTGAATAAGCTTTTAAAGTTTGATGGTATGAAATTTTCATCATCATTTTGCCGCAACTATCTGATTTTGATATTTCAAACTTGAGATCACAAGAAAATGCAAATAATTTTCAAGATTGTAAAAAAAATGATGAATTAGAAACCTTGAAAGGATGGCAGGTACTAAGATTAGCAAAGCTAAATACTGAAATTGGTTGGATAAAGAACAAGAGTCAAATTAAATTCTGTCATAAACTCTAATTAATCAAACAATTAAGCTTGCCCAAACCTAGAAACCAGACCAAAAAAGTGTCCAACAAGAGAATCAAGAATGAAAAGGAGGAAAATAAACAGCATGGTCTCTGCGGACTGTGGAGTTGGGAAGGAAGACGATCTGGGGGCAAGGGCCTATGGAGTTGGTTTGGGCAAGAGTTGAGGGAGAGGGGGGGGGGGGGAGAAAGGAATGGCGGGGAGGGGGGAGAGGTTCCATAAAAAAATTTAAAGTTTTGTTTCTTTTATTTTCCACATGTTAGAATTTGATTTGTTTTCCTTGCCATGTAGGAAGCGTTTGATAACACGCACTAATATGTACAAAGACAGAACAAGTTGTGTTTGATAGAAACATACGGGTTGAGTTCTAGTGTTTAATAGGAACAAAGCTTTGTTCAGGTGCCTAATGTAAAAAATGGACAAGTTAAAGGGGTCACATATGTATTCAGCCTTTAAATAATATATTCCAAATTAGAATATTTTAGTATGTTTCGGAAGATGTAGGAAGATTTAGAGGTATATTGTACTCTCTCCGTTCCAATTTATGTGAACATGTTTGACTGGGCACGGAGTTTAAGAAAAAATGAAGACTTTTGTGGTCCTAAACAAGTTAAAAAGGTGCCCAGAGTATTTGTGTGGTTATAAAAGCTTCTCATTAAGGGTAGAATTGTAAGTTTAAGCTAAATTGTTTCCAAATTTAGAAGGGGGTCATTCTTTTTGGAACGGACCAAAAAGGAAATAGATTCACATAAACGGAGGGAGTAATACTTTTGAGATATTTGAAGTAATTTAAAACTTAGGTATATTATGAAAGTTGGTCTAACAAATGGGTGTACCATGAAACTTTCCCTACTTGAATTCAACATCCAATAACAAGATCTGAAGTCAAGACATATGCAGAAACCTATATGATAAGTCTGACCAGTAATAGTCAGGTTTCTTCCTCAGCCGCAATGAAGTTCTATACACAAGTAGCGTTCCGGAGAACCAGAAGATAATAGACAGACGTTCAGGAATCTTTGTGTAGCCAATGTTCTCATGTTATTGCAAGTAGCAGTTAAAGAGCCCAAGATTCATAAAACAATTGACATCATCACTGAGCAGGAAAATGATACCAGGCGCAAAAGGAAGCTAATAAACAACATATTCAATCTCCATCACAATCGAAGTACCAATCACCTGTCTTTTTCTTTCATCCAATTTCACGCTGCCATCAATTCTACAAACATCAAAGCCCTTTTCACTAAAATAGTAATCCATTATGTCAAGTACTTTAGTCCACTGAGAGAATATCAGCACCTGTAGGGACAAAAGTAAAAATAACAGAAAAAGTTTCAGCAAGGTGGGGCACACAGAAAAGCAAAATGAAGCACTGGACAGCACATACTTTATGCTTGCGAGCAAACAGTTCTGACAAAAGCCTGTCCAGTAAGCGGAACTTGCCACATTGCCCAACTATTTGTTCTACAGGTGGATAACAAACTGCCAGCGAGATGACAAAATGTAAAGCCATTGTCAACACAACTTCATCACAAATAATCAGTTAAAAAAAACCATAAGCCACATACAAGAACCGTCAAATGCCGACTCCAAGAGGTCAGGATGATTGCAATTTTTGCGAAGTTGAATCATCAAATTAGTGAGCTTTTTAAAACCATGCCCTGCACATTCAGAAAAAGAACTTTAATACTGCAATCCCTGAACCCATGTAGAAAATGGTAATAAAAAGAAATTGCTTCACAGTATAACCCACAAGATGAATGCATTCAAGCTAAACAACAGACGCCATCATCAATCTAGACAAGATAGATTTTATTTATGCATAATCATAACAAAATTCGAGTACAATCAATATCTGCTTGCCAGTTGAGAAAACATTTGAAGTTCTATACAAACAAATATATTAAATTTGCCATTGACAATCTAATTTCCCTTTTAAAAACAACGTATTTGTCGGAGAATAGAACCTTGGATCCATAAACGCTTCAGTAGCAATTAAGAGAGCAAAAATTGGTTAGGAAAGTGCAACTGTCGGATAGAGGATATTTCTGTCAGATGTAGATACTTAAGATATTTATACAAGTATGCTAATTACCGCGGGACACATTCTCAAGCAAATAACCCTCCAATGTCCTGTTAATTAGATGGTCCTGGAACTTTTTCTGGTGCTCAGTCATGGTAGCATATAAAATTATCTCTTTCTTTCGTGGAAGCATTTGCTCAACATCTACTTTCAATCTCCGAAGGAGAAAAGGACGTAAAATTGCATGGAGTTTTGTAACAACCTGCAATTACGACAGTCGTAATCAAATATCAGCTACTATAAAATGGAAAGAAATGGCAATACTATTGAACAACAATCATACTTGTGCCCTCCTTTTCTCTTCCATTTCTTCCTTTTGGGCTTCATTGCCGCACTTCCCAGCTAGGTCAAACCTGATATACAAATAGAAACCAGGTTATCGTTTAACACTTAACTTTTCATGATGTCATTTAGCACATGCTAAATTCTTTACACCACCATTTGAGGAGAAGAGTGAGTTAAGTGTTCCGAATGATACACTGTACACGGATAAGGTAAGTGCATCACACTATCCGCTACGAATTCTGATAAGAACCAGCACAATTACCCAGATATTTGTGACTAGTCTACCCTATGTGTTATGCATAGAATGGAAACCAATATAGAACCGTCTGCTTCACTTGATCTGCCATATTTTCAATTTGGTTTCACCACATATGTACTGCATTTCTTCTGAAAACTATGGTCAATACATTAACCATCAAAATCAATGTGTGGAACTTCAGATTTCAGGGCAGTAATAACCCAGACAAGATAGCCAAATCATTTGCTGGATGAAGATGAAAACTTTGCTAGCAAGTTAGGCACATTACAAGAAAATAACATGACCAGCACAAATTAAAATTAACAAACAGTTAGCCGTCTAAACAAGCACTTCAAGAAAAATAGTGAGAATGGCCTAATCAGCTGCTTACCATGACTCAAATTCTTCTAAGGATGAAAATATATCCGGTAAGATGAAATTTAACAATGACCACAACTCAGCTAAGTTGTTCTGCAGAGGTGTTCCAGTTAATAGAAGCTTGTTTTCAATCGGCAGCAGCTTGAGTTCCCTGAACAGTTTGCACTTCGAGTTCTTTAACCTGTGCCCCTTGGAAAGAACCAATAAACAAAATATCAGCATGAAATGCAGAACGAATTGCCTTTTAAGTTAAGGCATAAACCTATAGATTGAAAATTAAAACACAGTAGTATAAGTATAAGTTCAAGGATAAAGAGTAAACTCTAAATCAGATGTACCTCATCAACCACAAGATACTTCCAATGATAATGCCTCAGGTATTTCTTCGCATCACTCATTGCAATCTCATAAGAAGTAACTACAATGGGAAATTTGGGACCTATGGCCCTCGGCATGTGCTTCCTCCTTAACTCATCTCTTTGTTTCTTGTCTCCATGGTAGATGATTGTATTAATTGATGGGACAAACCTATCAAGCACAAGAAAATGATGGTTTTTGGCCCTTGTTGCAGACTAGTAACGGAAGACTGAATACAAAATGAAGCACCTGCATCAACTAGACACAAATAGCACTTCCACTAATTGCACAAAATGAGGATATTAATGTACCTTTCTATCTCATTCACCCAATTTGAAAGAGTTGAAAGGGGAGCAATGACCAAATAAGGCCCATCTAACCCATTTCCCTTTAAATGTGCAAGAAAAGCAATAGTTTGAATGGTCTTTCCAAGTCCCATCTGATCAGCTAGAATCCCATTCAACCCATTTTGCCATAATGAAATCAACCACTTGACACCCTTCAGTTGATAAGACTTCAACTTTCCACCAGTCAGCAAGGGCACAAGTTCAGCCTGCTCCTTCTCAACTCTCTCCTCCTCTGTGAGGGTTGAATCCTCAATACAACCACCTTCTTTAGATCTTGAAAGCATGGCAGCAACAGCTCTCTTGGCCTTCTTCTGCATAGACATGTGGAAGTGTTTCACAGAATGGAAGAAGGGAAACTGACAAGATGCATAGAAACTCACTAGCCCATCCAACAAAAAAGAAACACTAGCTCCAGTAAAGCTCTCAAATTAACTTTGAGCCTCGAAACATCAAAAACTAAAGACTTCCGGAATCAGGCAAGTGATATTAAAAAGCAATACAAAACAATAAGTTCCCTTGCAAGAGAGAAAGGAAAAGTTAAATAGCGATTGAAAGGTAATAATAGAACTCGCCCAATCAAAAATGCCATGTTCCCAATATCTAAGAATACTCAACTAATTAACTGAGGTTCTTTGCATAATGATAAAAAGGATGGGAAAAAACTTTAATATACACCCATTTCCTAAGGAGGACAAGAGAAGGAATACATTATTATAACTTGTGGACGCCTTTCTTTTTGTGCCACGACCCCTCTTCTTGTCGTTACCACTTTCTTCTTCATCTTCCACTCCATTTTGCTAGTGAAAATGCAGAAATGAACTGTGTTAGCAAAGTAGTGACGACTTTTCGCACTCAACAGTCAAGATTCTTCATGGAAACAAGGATATACCACTGTGATGTTATCCATCTTCTCCAGCAGGAACTCTGAATAAAGCTGGGTCTGTGTAAGAAGCTCGTCCAACTTACTAAATTGAAGGTCATTCAAGTTGGGGGCCTCTTTGGGCTCATTTACTTCTTCCTCCTTTACACGTGCTTTCATCAAGTTTTCCTCTTCCTTCGCCATGGATTCAGATAAAAGAGAGACATCCCCATTTTTTGCATCAAGAAATACTTCATCCTCTAACTTGACAGATACCTCCTCTTTGCATGTATCCTTCAAGTTGAGAATACACAGATGTAATGCACAAGTAAAATCTGAATGAAATTTTTCTAAACATCCCTCCGAGCCAGCAACTGGCATTCGGACAAGGAAACAAAGAAATTATTGGTTAGAAATTTAAGAAAAGACATCTAACTTGGAAATCAGCAAAATTAAAGGCCAAATACAATTCCATTTCCAACCCAAACAAATCACATTTACCCTCAAACTGTAACGTGTACAAACTTTAAAACCCTAACAACAAGGTGTATTACGGATCAAGTACGTCAATAAGAAATAATTGGTAAATCGCGAAGCAGTTGGCACGTGACTCAAACACATAAACTCAAAGTCTTGCTTTGATTAGTTTTCAAGAATCAATATGTTGTCACTCTCATCTTATCCGATTACCTAGTTTTTTAAAAAGCATGTTAACAAAACCACATGACATTGGTACTAATGACAGGTAGAGTAAAATATCACACCATACAACTCGTTTCTTTACATTTGCACATTCTAGTACCTACTGCAGCCATATGACTCTATAACCCACCCATCCACCCCACCCACCCCCACCCCGAAAATAAAGCTAGATTCCTTCAAAATTAGCTTAAAGGGTTGTTCACCACCCCCCACCCATAAAACAAAAGAAACTTTATCAGCTTTTACCGACAGTAACAACACAATGCTATTTTTTCTCATTCCAGTATCTTTTTTTATGACCGAGAAACCTGTCTAGGCTAACTTTTAGGACCAACTGCATCCTGATGGGCCTGCCCCTCTACCCTTCTCCACTTAAATACCATACATAGTTTTTTTTCCTCATTCAAGTATCTTACTTCTACTTCCCCCCTCAAATGGGACTACATTACACGATGAAGACACAACAAAGAGTAATAAGTTTCAAAAGCCTAAAAACTTAACTACTAGTCGCACTACCTAAAGGTGAAAACCATCAGCAAGAAACAACAATTAAAACTAAGCCTTAATCCCAAATTAATCGGGTTCCAATTATATGAATCCTCTATAATTGGAACAAAAGCAATATACCTCCTCATCTGCGAGGACGGAAACAGGAGAATCTGTTTTAGTTACGTCCTTCACTCCGTTATCTGCGTCAGCAACCATCTCACTGTCCAAACCCTAAGCTCCAAAAAAACAATTCTTTACCAAATCAGCGAAAAGTTTCATTAAACGAATACTTTAGCAACTCGAGCAAACACCTCTTTTTCTATCTCTCGGATAAAAGGAATCAAAATACGAAGACTGAAATCTAACAAAAAGATTCAGAAAATAGCGCATAATGACGAAACAAATTTTGGAAAACAAAAATGGAATATACCTATTCAACTTCAGGTATGAACGTAGAGGAAAATCGGAATGAATGGAAGAGACGAAGAGATTCAAAGAGAATGGGCGGCAATGAAAATGGAGTAGAGTAGGGAATTTTGCAGCAGAATACTACTCCTATTTGGGGAGTGTGCGCGCGTGGGGGTGGGGTTTAATATTTATGTATTCTTTCCATGCCGGTGCAGGAGAGACCAAATGGGCGGGAAATCGATGTTATGAAATTGCCCTGCGAAGTTTGATTTAATATCGAAATTAGGATTGGAAGGCGTCCGTTGTTGAGCGTTGCGTTTGAATTGTGTTTCTCCGTGGTGTAGCCTGAAATGTTGTCAAATTCAGGGCGACCCAAATTGGCGGTCCGGATTTTGAGTTGTTCAATTTTGAGTTGGTATTATTAATTTACTGTGGTTATATGATAAATTGGGGTGACAATTCACAGCAATTAATCTAGTTAAGTGATAAAAATATAGTTCAAATATACATCATATGCTTTCATAAGTTTGGTTATAAGCTCTTTTTCATGTACTAGTCTTAGGGTACACGCGATGCGTGTGAATCCTGTCTTAATGAGTATAAATTTTATTTAAAAAATAATTTTGAGTTATAAAATAAAAATATAAGTTCCTAAAGATGATCATGAATATTGGTTGTGTATAACTAACTCAATAATTAAAGAAACTATCTCAGAAGTCCTCAATCATCAATAATTCAACTTAAGATTTGTTCCAAGTTTGTAATTTCATAATTACAGTTTCACAGGCAAGAACCTTGAAAATGTAAATAATCTTGTAGGATACAACTTATAAAATATAAGCAGACAACTAATAATCCGATCTTTAAATAACATAAAATCAAAGTGCAATAATAAACAAAAAAAGACATTAAAAAACGAAGAAATAAAGCAAGCTAATAAGAGAATTTACAATTGAAAGATAGCTGATAAATCCGCTCATATTTAGCTAAATATATCATGAATTAATAATTAAGGAATCTCATAAATTATCTTGTTAATTTGTGCATTTAAAACTTTTAAAAGTATAATATTGAATAAGATTATTGGTGTTGTATTTTTGTATATTTTTATAAAGTGAATCTATCTACGTTATTATCCAAGAACCTGTACCTCTTCTTTCTTAAATCTTTTTATTCTCCTTTTATCTATTTTTTAATTATTTATATATAATTTACGTGCAATACCTATACGAAATATTACAACTTTCTACATGGTTCGAATAAGAAAATAAATTAATAAGCAAAATTTTAATTAATTTTAAGCTCTTAAATATTAAAATAATAATTAAATAACTATTAAATCAACAAAAATAATTTGTAGAAAATTTTCAACATACGTAACCCATGAGCACGTTTCCTTATTTAATTAACATGTTATGGTGAAGGCTAAATATTAGGACTTTCTTACTTAGTTCAATAAGGAAATATTTAATAACCAAAATTTTAGATGATTTAAATGCCCTAAATATTAGGAAAGTAGCTTAAATTATAATGGAAAATTTTCACATAAGAACAACTGGGATTCCTACTTTTTAATTATATAATCCATATTTCAATTTAGAACCAACTAGCCAAAAAATAATAGGCTAAGTCTCAACACCCAACTCCAATAAATTCTCGAAATTACTATTTAATTTAAAAAAAAAGATTGTTCAAGCTTTTAAGTTAATTTTTGAATCAGCAATTGTAACTCAAATATTAGTTTAACAAACCAAATCCATTTGAATGGTGAAAATTAGATTTTTAACAAGCTTAAATATGTGGGCTTAGATTCCGCATTTGATTTTGTGAGAAATTTGAAGTGGGTGTTATTTAGAATTGTTAGAAATAGCATAAGGAGGTTGCATATAAAATTTGAAGTCATTTAATGGAGATTTGGACTGGTTTTGAACAAGAATTGCAACTGAAAATCGTGGAAGAAGTCCGTCTACAAACGCTTGTATAAAGGTGTATAAAAGTGTATAATAGTGTATAAGATGTGGTTATACACTCAAATACACTTTTATACAAGATTATACATAATATACAAAAAACTGACTTCGTCTTCTTCCTTGCGTCTTTTCTGAAATTTAACTCAAATCTTGCTCAAATCTACTCAAAATCACTTCAAAATTAAATTTTGAGCTCCTTTTAATATTTTCAATCAATTAGAACAACACCCAATCCAAACACTAACAAACTCAAAAAATCCTATTTTCGAAAGCAAAGCTTTGAATAGCCTTCAATGGTGGACGTCTACTCTTCAATTTTCTTACATTGCAACTAGGTGACACAAGCGGATAAGCGGTAATGGCGGACGGCCCCTTGAAGCATATGTAGAAGACGTGATAAGAAAATAGAGTGAAAGCAATGGTTGTGAGAACACAAAATTTAACTTCATAGCTTTTAGAAGTTATGGTTATAAGAACACAAATTTTGAATTTGTTAGTGCTTTCAAAATATGTACAATATGGGCTAGGTTGGATAAAACTTAAAAACATGGGCCATTTTTTGTTATGGTATGATGTCAAGTGTATTTTCTTGTAATTCTTTCAATTATAATTGTATCCAATATAAAATTTATTTTTAGAGGGTAAAAAAGGCGAACGACGCTTTGCTAAGGGCCTTCGTGCTTTTAATATAGTATAGATATAGATATAGTTATAGACACAATCTGAAACATTGATGACGTGGAGGTGCTTATTTGGCACTTTATTTTATGTGGCAACTTGATTCTAAATTTTGGCACCAGGATGATGGATTTAGAAAGATTTTCATTTCTAACACATATGTCACGACCCAAAATCCCTCTGAAGGAGTCGTAATGGTACCTAGTCTCTAAACTAGGTAAGCCTAACATTTACAGAAATAACATTGATATTCACTAACTTCAAATTAGATAACTCTAAACGATTACAATTTCCAAAACCGGTAGTACAAGTCATAAGCCTTTCTAGGAGTAGTTATACATAATAAATACATCACTGTTCCAGAACAAAAGGAACCAATGGAAATAAGTACAAATGAAGGTGACTCCGTGGCCTGCGAACGCAGCAGCAGGTTTACCTTGAGTCTCCACCGCGACGATCAGCATAGCTACTATCAATCATATACTTGGATCTGTACAAAAAATATACAGAAGTGTAGTAAGAGCACACCACAGCGGTGCCCAGTAAGTATCAAGACTAACCTAGGTGGAGTAGTGACGATGGGCAGTCAAGGCACCTACTGGCCTAATAAATTGAACATGATATAACAGTAAACTAACAATGGTAAAGACAACAAAGTAATACCAATAGCAGGGAGAAATCAAACTACCAGTAGAGACAATTTAAGGGAAACACGGATGGTAACGTAAGATAACCAAGTAAATTAACACCAACATAGCTGGAACACAGACAAGTAAACACGTGCTCAAATAAGGAAGGCGATGTTAACTCAATCAATCACATCATTTTCTGATACACAATTCCAACCATCTCAAACTCGATGTCTCATATCATAACCTTAATCCCAAAACCTTTAGCACACACGGCACCTTGTGCCCCATATTTCTATCTCACATTGCACAACATCATCCTCATGCTATGCTACTCAGTACATAGGGTCCGTAACAAATGCACTTAAGATGATCAAGGAGTCTCATTTATATAACATAAAATAAATTACAGTTTCTAAACCAATTAGGAAATCAGCGAAAAAAGATGAAGTTACTTTTATAAATCATTTGAATGAAGAAAATACCTTTTTCAAATAAAATACAACATCTAATAAATTATTACCTTTAATATAGGATTTATTAAATTAAAACTTAGTAGAAATTCGTTTTTAAGTAAGATACAATATCATCGGGTTAAGGAAACTTAATTGAGAAACTAATTGAAATAAAACATAACATTTATAGGAATTTGAATTATTGAAAGGTGTATATATACACGGCGAATTCAAATTTAAAAGTCATATATAGCAGCGTAATACTAATTCCTTTATTTTAAATCACGATATTACTAATAACTTAACAGGACAGGAGGAAACGATTCAACGTAGTAAATTTACTTTAAAAATTTATTCACTAGAGTAATAGTTTCAGGGAAAGAATTCAAGGAACAACGGCAAGTCAACAGATCAATGTCAATAACCCGATCCCACAACTCAGTGAAACCCGAAATACAAATTATCATAGCCTTAAACAAATGAACTAGGGTCTTCTCAGTATTCAGCTATAACCAATCCCTAAATGAAATGTAAAACCACCGAATAATCTACACAGTCAAAGAGGAATACATAAGCATATATATTGATGCGGCGCGCATCCCGATCCCACCAATCCTCTCTTATTCATCCGTAACAATTACAATAAAAGTAAATAGTATATATATGTTGCGGCGTGCAACCCGATCCCACCAATCCTCCCTTATTCCTCCTTAACAATTACAATAGAAGTAAATAATATATATATGTGTTGCAGCGCGCAACCCGATCCCACCGGTCCACCCTTATTGCTCCTCAATATATCACCATTATTTCTCTTGTTGCGGCGTGCAACCCGATCCCACCTGTCCACCCTTATTACTCTTGTTGCGGCGTGCAACCCGATCCCACCAGACAATATCAATTCTCCCTTATTCCTCCTCAATATATCACCATTATTCCTCCTGTTGCGACGTGCAACCCGATCCCACCAGACAATAGCTTAAATCAACATCAACAACAAATCCACAACTCAATTACAAGAATTTCTATTGCCAAGAGTATGAGTACACGGCGACAAGAGAATCACTAGAAATCAGGAAGCACAACAACCTTTATGAAAACAACAAGACATGTAAGGCACGTGATAACTACACAGGCAGCAACAACAATTTGGACACGTAGCATATATGCACGGGGTCATAGAGAAACTCACAATTAAGAAGTAACAACACAATAAGAAGGGCAATCACTTCAATTAAGGTAAATAGGGGTCAAATAACAAGTAAGAGTTAGAAAAAAACTAACAATATCGTATAGAGCATGTAGAGGTAAAGCTAGCAAATAGGAAACCCAATTATATCAGGAAACTTCCCAATTAATGAACATAAGGACCTAAAAATCCTAAAGGCAAATTTTCCACAAATAAGACCGAGCACGCACTCGTTACCTCGCATGCACGGG